TTGAAAATAAGGATTTGTAGATTTAGCTTGGCCGAAAATCTAATTAGAGTAGTTTGAAGGTATGCTCGTGTAACCAACTTTTTTTTTTTTTTTTTTACATAGGATTCCTGTTATAGTTTTTGGACCAGTCTTTTAAACAGAAGCTGATTAGTCACTTCATTTGGAAGGGATTAAATTGATCTCAAAGTAAATTTTGGTGTTACTGGATCAGTCCATTTGCTGCACATGTTCAGAAAGGTCCAGACAGCAGCAAACCATTTGAAAACAAACTATGCGAATAGCAGTGTTGCCAACTTAGTGCTTTGGTCGCTATATTTAAGTGACTTTTCAGACCCCTCTAGTACTTATGTCAAAAAGCATCTAGTGCCAAATCTAGTGACTTTTTTTCCTGCTAGAGACTTAGGCAACAAAAGCGGTGAACTCTGCTCTACAGGATATCCGCTTTCCTCCTACACATCCAGCTCAGCAGCCAAAAGAAACTGGCAGGTTGAATCCAGAATTTATTATTTAATTAAATTTGAATCCTAAACACAAAATAAATTTGGATAACAGCCCAAAGCCCAAAAAGGAGAACTTGAGGTTATGCTAAAATGAAGTTCAGAATTTGTCAGGTTTTTCAGCACCAGTAGAAATGAAATGCTTTAGGTTTCTGGTAGATGGCTTAAACGAATTTGGACTTCATAAAACTGGACCAACAAGACATGGAACCCCAAATTGGAAACTTAAAACTGGACCTTAAGCAACTTGGATTCTGCCCCTTAAACTCCAGTCTGATTTCAAAATGATTAGATGACTTGAGTCTCAACTTTGGACCACTGAACTACTGCCTAGTTATTTTTACTCCCTCAAAGTAAAAGACCTGACATCTTTCAATACAGGAAATGTAACGGCAGCCTATTTTTATAAATAGCTAGTGGATGCAGGTTGTGACAATTTTCTAAGTTTTTTATAACTGTAATAACTAAAACTGAAGCTTTGAATATTTTAGATATACAATCCAAAGAAAAATCCAAACAACAAAAAGTGACAATTTACTATCTTTATTTAGGTAACAGCCACATTTACAGTGAAAATCTGGCATTTGGAAAGTAGATGAATTCCTCAGTTGTTGGAAGGTCTGAAAAGAAACATTTAAAGTTAACACTAGAAAACCATACTGCTAACATAATATGCAACAATGGTTATCAACTCACTTGGCCCATTCAACATTGAGAATAAGATGATCGTATCCAAAGCCGGACACTCCTGCAATGGCTCTGGCTGCATCCTCCCTGCGGTGGAAACTGATGAAAGCAAATCCCTGCAGCAAAGAAGATGCTAGATTAGAAAACTGGAGCTTTTCTTTTCAATGGTTGTCCATCTAATTCTAACAGACACTGCTGAATGGTAATCAGCTCATTTGTGAGGATCTAATAGAGACAGAACATGCAGAAAGTGAGTACCAACCTTGGACTGTCCTGTATTCTTGTCCTTTGCCAGGTAAATCCTTGAGATGGAGCCAAATGGTCTGAAAAGCTCCTGCAAGTCAGTCTCACGGGTGTCCTCAGACAGGTTGGTCACACGGATTGTAGCGTTGTCATCAGCTGGAAGGAGAAGTCATTTAGTGTTTGATCAAAGCTGTAGCAACTGACACACTTTAACTTCTTCTCACCTCTGCGGTTCGGCTGCATAGACTCCCCTCTTCGGGTACCTCCATCCCTCAGGCTTGGGGGAATATATTTGCCAGTCTTGCTTTGTGCAGGCTGCACAGGTTCTGGTTCAGCTAATAAAAATATATATATATATATTTTGACAACACAAATCAAATAGCAAAAAAAAAAAAGAACACTGCACAAAGACCATAAGATTATAAATAAAAAAAAAAAAAAGCAAACAACTGGTACCAGAACCAGGAGCCTTGTCCTTGTCTGCAGTGGAAAGGCCAAGCTGCTCAGCCAGTTCCTTTTGCATAGGGCCCAGGGTGTCCTTGTACGGACAGCGGGTCGTCCAGTGGTCGCCTTTACAAATTCGACACGACACAATCTTCTGGTTTTTAAGTTTGTTCATGGGGTCTTCCTCCTGGTCTTGGGCATTCAAGTCCTGCAAAAAGGAATAGCATCTCAGGCAAAAGGTACACAACTCTGAGACCAGTGATTCTGCACTGCATAGCAATTCTTTCTCTTACTCCTTTGCTAAGCAATACAGCAGAGAAAGTTTCTAGACTGATTTTCAAATTGAAAGGAAAGCAACTGGAAACTTTAAACTAACTCACTATAGTGTTCAGAAGAGGATGGAGGCAAAAACTTAATTTCTGAGAAATTATTGGCTTCATTAATCAAACTTTAACTTTACTATCACTGGGTTTTCATGTGCAAGAATCTGTCTGAGAAAACTTGGCGAGAATTAAAATAAATGCAACAGATTCTCACATCTTTGCTGGAGATAAATGTCATGAAGACATCGTCGCTGACTGTAGTGGTAGCAACATTGGGACCCGGTGGATCACGCTCAGAGTTTCCGAATTTCTTCCAGTTCTGCAAAATATTTCATCACAGGAAAAGTTCACAACACCAAAATCATTGGGTAGTTAAATGCCCCTCACACCTCAGGTGATGTATACAGACCTTTCTTCTTGCAACAGCTTTGGATGCCTTCCTTGTCTCGATTTTAAAGGTCCGCACAATCTAGACAAAAATCATTTAAGAGATTAAGAGCATTGCATTGGTTCTCAACAACATGATGACCTGGTAGCATCGGTTAAAAGAAATCAACTTATATCAAAGCGCCTGGGATATAAAAACCAACAGATACTTTGAAATATATCGCAGAAAAATAAACCTAGAAAAGTGTTCTGTTTAATCATCAAATTAATCACCTTGTATTTTTTCTCATCATCTTCATCTATTTTATATTCGGTGACAGTTTTTATGTTTCCTTTGATGGTTTCCTTCGGAGATGGGAGTGTGTCTAGTAAAACAGGGGGAAATGAACATGACACATAAGCATATAGAAAACAATATGATCATTAGTTATCAGTTAAAATTTTTGATAAAACTGCTCAAGTTTCCCATCTGTTGTTACATTTCCTATTCTTTTATCCCGGACCCAACCTAAAACAATCAAAAAATATTGTAAAAGTCAGTTGACTTCATTAACATGTTTGTAATTAATGTTAAAAGTCTTGTAGAAGCAGCTTTCTGCATTTTTTAAGCGCTAGAAAACGCTTCCTCCATCACCAGAGCCGCTCTCTAATCGCCAAGTAAAAGAAACTAAACACCCCTTTAAACTACTCACTAAAATTCAATAACAAATACAATTGTAAAGCTATGTGTCCAGAACAGTCAGAATAGTAATTCCAGTAACCGACTGTCAAAAAAAAAAAAAAAAACAACACGTGGAAATGGAAGCCGACTAGCCGGGCCTTAATATCGGAGCTATGCTAACGCTAAAAAAAAAAAAATCCTCCCAACCGTCTCCTTCTTCTTCGACCTGATCGGCCCAGCTGGGCTTTGAGCTGGAAGAAAGAAAGGAAATTCGGGGTTATATTCCTAATAAAACCGTAAACACAGATAGGAACAGTGTAAAATTCTGAATGAAACTTACTCGTCGTAATCAATCGACGGCATCCTCTCCGTTAGCTTAGCTTCAAGAGGATCACCGCGAAGCAGCAGAACTCACTTCCGCTATTTACACTTCAAAATAAAAGCAAGACGTGACCCAAGTTTTTCTTTTTTTTTTTTTTTTTTTTTTTTTTTTACATAGTTTTGTCACAATAAAAGCGGACACAATAACACTAGCATGACGGTGGATTAAAGATTTTGGCTCTTTTGACGCTCTAGGTCCCTGTTATTCTACATTGAAGTAGATTTTTTTTCAAGATCCGTCTTACACAGAAAAAGTAAGTTTATCAGAGGGGCGATGGTGGGGAATTTTTTTGTCATGGGGGACCCTGAAAAAAAAAGACATTCCAGAAAATAAGGGCTAAAATCTTTTTGTGTATTAAGAGAAGCACAAAGCCAAGTTTGCAAATACCCAATCTAACAGATTAAAACTATGATCTTATCTTGATGCACCTTGAAGCTGGCTGTAAATGCATCTAAAAAAGTAAATAAATAAAATAATTCCATTTCCCCTAATTTGAACAGGCAAATAAAAAATGAGGGCCAAGGGAAATAATATTTTTGCTCTTAAAACAAAACAATCGATTTTATTAATTAGATTTAAACGCAGTACAGGGGCCAGCACTAGTCTGACAGGGGCACTGGCCCCTGTTGGCCCTTGCTTTGAACTGCCCATGTGATTAATCTTTAATAACATGTTTGAAAAAACAGAACGAATACAGATATTGAAACCCAGACTTCGTGGTTGCATTCTGTGGCAGGGTATTAAGAGAACAGTGCAGAAATCTGGCTTTCAAGGTAAGGGCTGAAAGAGACCAGAAATGAATGCATAATTAAGTGTTTCAGGGCATCAGATCAGGATGCTTTGTTTGGAGGGTTTCCAGGCCCATCACATTGAGCAGGACCCAGATCCAGATTTAGCTGGAGGAACCGTCCCTTTTGGCATAAATAGATGCTGGAGAGGTGCAGGGGAAGTCTGGTTTCTCTTCTTGTTCTCTGTCTGTCACCTTATCTAATCTAACAATATACGAGAGACTGCATGGACATTATTGAGATTCTTTAGAGAATTTAGTGAAATGTTTTTCTTCAAATGTTCTATATTTTGTTTAGGTTGAAAATGAGGGGTTGCTTTCTTTAAATCTACTTCATTTTTAAAACACATTGTAATTAAGTGTTTGTTGTTGTTTTTTTTTTTTTTTTGATTCTGTAGGGAAGGTAGCCATTTTCTTTCAATAAATGAAATCACCCTAAAACTTCCTTTTGCATTTAGTTTTGTTATATCTGATACAAAGTTTTTCATGCTCAGAAACATTCCAGTTCAACCAAACAGCAAAAAAAAAAAAAAAAAAAAAAAAAACACTTTTTCTTAACATCATATAAATTAGATGGGATGGTAATACAGAATGCAACACTTTTTTTTATTTTATTAGGAAAATTATAAGATTATCTGTTTTTACAAACATGATTGGTCAAAAAGTACAAAACTGTGTAATGTAGAAGTTCTGCAAAGATCCTTCTAGCAAAGCTATTTTCAGTCTAAAACAAGGATGTGCTTCATGCAAGAGCAACCAAGCGGCACCTCTACTTCCTCATCCAGCTCTGTTGTCTTCTAAGCTCTGTCCACAGCATACCAGTCTAATACTGTCAAACACAGCCATGTAGAGGATGGGATGGATACACATGTTCAATGTTGCCAGACCTTTGGATACTTGGTACATGTTGTAGACCCAACAAAGAGTGTGTTGGGGATATATCCTTAAATACAGATGATAGACTTGGTAGACATGATAGGGCACAAAGGAAACAGCATAGAGGACAATTACTGATAAGACTAACAAGGCAACTTTACGCTTTTCAAGCGTTGTTATGTTGGCATTTTTCCACACAACCCGAGTCACTACACAGTAAGAAGTAAAAGTTACTATGAAAGGAACAAGACAGCCAAACACAGCAAGGAATACTTTGTAAATAAAGTCAGACTTGGGGTCAGACGTTTGGTGACAGAAGGCCACACATAAAGTGTTGTTATTGTAACTGTGTTTACAAAGAGATGCAAATTTCAGCATAGGGGAGGAGATGACTCCTACAATGATCCATATGATTACACTAACGGCTTTAATATGGGATGGTTCCAGGTAGGAGCGAGTGAAGAAGGGCCATGCGATAGCCACACAGCGGTTCACACTTATGGCCATGATGAAGAAGATGCTCACATATAAGTTGCAGGTGAAAAGAAACCTCTCCATTTTACACACAGCCTCGCCAAAAATCCAGTGTTTCCCCAGGGCGTAGTAGACGATCAGCAGAGGCAGAGTGAGGATGTACAGCAGGTCACTGATGGCCAGGTTGCAGGAGAGGACGACACCCGAGTGCCAGTCGCGCCTTTCTCTGACAAACAGCAGACACAAGGCAAACAGATTTCCTGCAAAGGCCACAACAAACTCAATCCCATACATGGTAGGCAGCAGGCTAATCTGAAACTTCTCACAGTCAGAGAAGTTGACCGACATCCTGCTTTCAGCTCAACACAACCCTTTAATAAAAAATAAAAAAACAGGAGTTAAAAAAAGTCCCTACCGATGTTCTTTGCTAGAGCCTAGAAGCAATACAATGAGCTGCAGCTTACCCAGATGCAGACATGCAAATATGCCAAAGTAAAGCTTTGATTTACTAATTCATTGATGAGAAGGTTGAGGGTAGAAGTCGCTCCTTAGTCGTCCAATGCTGATCTGAGTGACAGAAGAACAGCAGAGTCATTTCCTTGTGCCCCTGCTTGTGTTGTTAGAAATGCAGAAGGAAAACTGCAGTGACGACACCAGAAGCATCAATCTGAAAATATTGCTATGAAAAAAAAACACTGTTTGAAATAGAACTAGAGGCACAATAGATGAAAAGTACTTATTTATAATGAAAATTCTAGCAGCAACCAGGGCTATAACCAGAGGAGACTGTAATGTTCAGCTTAGGCCCAAATTTGGCCAAATGGTTGCATCCATCAAAGGAACAGTTATGGAACAAACTGCCAGCTCATGTTAGGGGCTCTGCAACCTACAAAAGTTTTAAAATCTTATTGAAACATTGGTTGAAAAATAGCCAGACCCACACTCACAGGTGAATTGATCCGTTTCCTTGGGGTCGTTAACCTAATTTTATTGTGATTTCATATTATTGGCATCTTATCCGTTTGTGTTCACTCTGCTGTCTCCCATAGTGTCATGTTTAACGTTCACTGTTCTTACCTGCCTTAGGAAATCGGATGCAAATGACCTGTTAAAGCATATTTATATTGATGCTTTAAGCTGATATGTTAATAAATGTGCATTTTCCTAATTCAAATAAATAAAAATTAGTTTAAAAATGCACACTCTAAAAACCTTTTGTACCTATACAGGTTTGTCTTTGCTTTGTTGTGACTTCTGGTGAAGAAATAACAGTATTTCCTAATAACCTTGTCCTGGCTGACCAGTTTTTAAATGACATCTGACAGAGCATCCCACCCTTGAGAAGCAAATTCAAAACAAATTTCAGGGAAATCTCTTCAGTTTTTTTCAATATTCCTGACTTTTAGAAAAATATCTGAAGGTAGAAAAGAATCAGAAGATTGTGTGTGAGCAAGCCAAAGGCAAACTTCTGCTATCGTAGGATAGAAAATACGTTTTTCTATTTGAAGATGAGAAAATGATCATGGGTGGGAATAAATTGGCCACATAAAAAATAAAAGACAGAATGAGACTCACCATCTTCTTTTAAGACCAACTTTAAAGCTTTAATAAAGCTTACAATAACTTGGACTATCCTGATCCTGAGCTAGTTTTGCCATTAGGCCGTTGGAGGACATAATCACCATCCACCCTGCTTCTCAATTTCCAATTATTTGCAGTTTTTACCTTTTTTTCTATTTATAGAAGCCCCATCTGATATTTTATTCAGACACCTTCCAGAGTGGGCACCAGCTGAGCTACTGCTGCCAAAAACCTCATGATCTCCGTTTACCACCCTTTTTAAAAGACCTTTTGCAAACCATCACCTACCATTAACCATGTTTCTTCACTAGGTAAATTGTAACTCAATAAAATTCAATTCCAAACTATTTATAGCTTAACTAATTTATAGTTTTGTAGCAAAACATTTTAACGTATTCATGAACTTCAATAAGTGGAAAGAAATGACAGAACACAAGAATATTAGAGTGTCATATTTACAAAAAAAAAGTTTATTTAAGAACTGGGGATAACACAAATGATACAAAATAACTTTTCCAAACAATCATTGTTTTGAAATTGTTCCAACAACATCCACTCAAATTGAGTGCTTAAATGTTGAAGCAGTCAGAGCAAAGATTTGCTGCCCCCTGCTGCCTCTATAAGGTACTGCAACCAAAGTTCAACGTTTCCCTTTAGTCCGTTTGAAACCTTGTTTTTCACCTGCGCCCTTCTTATTCTTGAAGCCAGGTTTGCTTTTGTGTCCCTTTGAAGAAAAATGCTTGTCCTTGTTTTTCTTTCCATCAAAGTTTTTCCTTCCAAATTTGTTTTCTCTCTCTCCAGATTTCTTGGAACCAAATGCTTTCCCCGGAGGCCATTTTTTCTTACCGAATGCTTTCTCTCCATCTTTAGACTTTTTCCAAGCTTTTCCTTTTCCCTGTAGAGCGGTTCCTGCTTTGTCCCTCTGCTGTCCTACTGCTTTTTTTCTTTTTGGTGATTTAGAATCTGGATCTCTGGAGGTTTTACCAGCGGACAGTTTTCTCTTCCTGGGACGTTCCTGAGATTTGTCAGAGCGTCTCCTCTTCTTAGCACCAGGGAACATATCTGGGAAAAAGAATAATGCATTTTTAAAAGATTTTAAAGAAATAGTGTAACCAAGGGTGTAAAGCAGTTAAATATTAGTATTACCTTCATCTGGCTCCTCCCCCACAGCCTGTCTGTAGTACTCCACATCATCATCAGATTCAACAGCAGCAGCCTGATCTTGCATCCCTGGATCCTCCACTTCACTGTCCTCCTCAGCTTCAGCTCGTTTTTTCTTGATGCCTTCTAGACTCTTTTTCCTTGAAAGTAACACAATTTTTTATAGACAAACATTTATGAAAATAAAAGAAATCTGCCTGATACGTTTAGGTCTAAATTACTTGTTTTCTTCTCGTTTCTCTTTCTTCTTGGCCACATTCTCTTCCTGTGTTTTCCTTCGGTTCTCCTTTTCCTTCATCTTGGCCTCCTTTCTCTTCAGGATTTCCTGAATCTCTTCCTCTGTCTTAGATACTGCAAGGAGAAAAAGACCAAAAAAACAAATTAAGAAACAGTTTGTGTCTCATGAGCATAAAATCTAAACAATGCTCAGGATGAATCAGTAAGCGTTTACTTTTAGGAGAAAAATCATAGGAATCATATTGTTATTTTCATCAAGTTCATCCAAACAGCTCAAACAGAAAGAATTTAGGAAACAGATGGACTAACTCATGGAGTGGTAGATGATGTTCCCGTCACCCATCCCTTCCTGGATCTTTACCAGCTGCAGAGTCATTCGAGGGCCGATCTATGGAGAGCAAAGTGGAACAGGTTGAGCTGATATCCAAACGTCAATCGGGTGTTTCAGATATAGACGTTTTTGACTCACTTCTGTCAAACGGACAGCGCTCTGCTGGGATGGCATGTTGCCTCTTCCAGCATACATCTGTGGCAGTTCAGTTATATTGTGTTCACCGTCCTGCTCGGCTTCGCTTTCAGACAAGTTCGCTCCCCTAAAGAGTTGTTAGAGAAAACAAAGCCTTCCATCTGATTTCCATTTCTAAAATATAACAGTGGTTCACGTTCTTTTTAATTGCTGCAAACATAGATCCTTACTTCACCAGCAGCTCGGCAATATCCTCGAACTTGCTCATATTGGGGAACTTCTCCTGCATCAGCTTCTTTACTCCTCGGCTCATCCCCACAGGGACGACTTTCAGGCTGCTGCAGATTGGGAATAAAAATATTTGACCTCAATTAATGAGGGAAAACAAAAAAAGTAACAGACATTCTATAAAGGCCCATCAGTGCGTTTACTTTGGACATGCATCATGACAGAGTCAAGTCGTGTTTGGTCATCATCTGAGCCCACCATTTAGAAGACCTGTTTATTTTATCACAATACTTACTAGTGTCGAAACTGAATTTCCTGAGTCTCTGGGTCAAAACTAAACAGCACACACCTCTTGATACTGTTGAGATTTACCTAAAAAAATAAAAAAATGTCATTAGGCCAAAGCTTAAACTACTTTTTATGAGATTAAAAAGGTCTACTTCATGGATGAATCAGAAAGCGTTTACTTTTGAAAATTCTTCACATTTAATCAGAAGACTATACTTTCATCATATCATAACATTATTTACAAATTAGAATTCTTACAAAAGGGTTTGTTTTCTCACCTTTTGGACATTTATTGAGGGAAACATATTCTGGAACATGGTGGCCATGAGCTTCACATGCATGCCATCCACTCCAAAGTTACTGAGGATGAGAAGTGGATGATGGGTGAACTGCTGCTCATGCATCCTGTGCTTCTTCAAAGACGAAACCACATCTTTTATAAGGGAATACTGTGGATGAAACATGAAATAGAAAAGTCCTTATAAATATGGATTAAATAAAGAAAGATAATAAAGGTTGCATGACTTGGCTGCTAGGGTTCATCAGTGCGTTTACTTTGAAAACATCACTTAACAATCAAGTTTTTTATGCATCATCACATGAACCTGACATATTAACTAGCAAATTATGAAGTGTACCTTTACAACTTTAAAATAAAGCATGGGGCCTTTAGGAAGACGAGCCAGTCTCTAAGGAGGAGAAAAAAAAGAAGAAGCTGAATGGATAACAGAGCATCTTACATAAGAAAAAGTAAAACCAGATATGCCTTTAATCTCACCATGTTGATGCTGTCGCTGGTTTTGCCAAAGATAATGAAGTGGGTCACTCCCAGAGGCCCCGCTATGGACACAAAATCCTTCAGGAGATTCTTTTTCCGTACCTGGTTTTAAAAGACAAAGGCATGAGAGGGAAACTATATTTTATAAATTGTGTAAATTTGTTAAAGTAAGCGATGCTAACATCTGGGGGAAGCTGTATTTAGAGAGGCGACCTCCAAGACAGAGTCCTTTGGAAAAAAATAAATAAAAATAGAGAAAGACATGCATATTTTATAAAACTATTGTTAAATTATCCCAACAGATATTTTTTATATCCAGGAGCCACCATCAAAAATAAAACCACCATCATGTCACTGTAGATCATTTAAAATCAACGGAAACATTTTAATCATAGGTTATACCTGTAGAGGGTTTAGTCATATATTGATTTAATTGGAACTATAGTGTCTTTTAAGCAATATTTTTAAGGAACTGACATGTCTTTCTGAAATGATTCATCCCAATTAACCCAGATCCTCTTTAGTGTTTAGCTCTTGAAAAATAATTACACATAGGCATTTCTGAGAGTTGAAGATAAATTAAGGTCGAAGCATTAATTCATCGATCAATTAAGTGACTCCAGAACATGGCATTTGCTAGAGGACATCAAACTTATAGCTTTAATAAATCAAAAGGAAATATCCTTTTGTTTCACCTAGTCCAAATTCTAGGGGGAAAAACTCACATAAAGCAACTTTATCTAGCCTATTAGAAACTACTCGCATGATTATTTTTGTAAATAATCATGAATTGTCCTAGAATAAAATGTAATTCAAATTGTAAACCTGAAAAGTAATATAGGTCCTTTGTTTTAACAGGTCTTAGGGGGTTATCACTGCAATTTTTCTCAATGTTTCAAACTCCTGTTAAACTTAAGGTTATTTTACTTATATTGTGATTAAACTGCACAGCTTAAAAGTCTTAAATGTCCAGATATGACTTCCAAAACATGACTTGTGACTTTTTCAGAGTGAAAAGATGCATTTTTGTTATTACTGTGTAATAAAGGAATCAGAACATTTCGTACTTTCAATCATCTGAACATGTGGCCCTGTTTTCAGAGGGATTCATACCTTCAGAGACTCGGCGGTGTACGGCTGCATGACTTTCCTCATGTCCTGGACGAGCTGACCCACGTTTTTCCCAATTTGACCCCGATGGAACACAAAGGAGTGGGGGATAGTTCTGTAGGCATCCTCCGCCACATGGACAGCTTGGGCTCGGGCCTTCTTCTGGTTTTTGGTCTAACAATTGTGGAAACATCAGGCACAGGAAGCAATAACATAGATAAATATCAACGCTGGAAAAAAACCCTAAGCGTAACACAACCCTAAACCGTATAACAACGTCCAGACCGGGCTCACAACAACGCTTTTCCAGAAATGTTTAATTATGTAAATAACTGTAAAAGAAAACGCATATCATATTCGTAAACGAATCCTACAATTTCCTCCTTGATAACTACCGTCTATATCAGTGCTTATAAAACATTAGCTAATATGCTAGGCCAGGCACGTACCTTCGATTTCCCCATGCTTGATTTAGAAGTCTGTAGGTTTATTTAACAAAAACAAAACCTCTTTAAATGATGCTAAAGTATATTTAAGTAAACCATGCTTCAAGTGCCTCAGTAAAATGTCTCAAAGCATTAAAGTAGAAACCCTCTGCTACGAAGGATCTCCTCTATCCACATGGTTTCTCGGCGTGTTACACCCTAATATGTCCGTGTTCCTCACTAGAAGGTAGGAACTTTTTCTTCCTCTTCGTCGATTTATTGGGGGTTTGCAACAAACATTTGGTAGCATTACTGCCATTTACTGGTATTGAGTGTGGTTCGTGATGGACTAATTTCTAATAAAAAAAAATAAATAAAAACTATATACTTATACATAAGTTTTTTATTCTACCCGTCTACATCATACACACATTCACCCTCTCTATAATAAAATTCTATGAAATAATTTAGTTTTCTTTAAAATCTATTGATTAATCTTTTCCTTAATACATTTAAACTCTCTCCCCATATATCATCTCTCGCTTTCATATTTAGTATAACATGTTCTATTGTTTCATATTTTCCACAGTAATCACATTTGCCAGTAGTATGCTGTTGAATTTTGAAAAGTGTATAATTAAGTCCTGTATGCCCAAATCTTAACCTTGTCATCACTCTCTCCTCCTATTTCTCTTCCATTTCTTCTTTTTCCTACTATCTTCTGAATTTTATAAAGCCATCTTCCTTCATCCCACCTTTCTCTCTTTTTTTTGCCATTTTCCCATCAATTTTCTTTAATAATACTCTTTCCCTCCGATTTACTTGTTTTAAAAGGTAGGAACAAGTCTGGCTGGTTCCTAGATATTGCGGTTGGTAGGTTATACTTTTGACCACAAGAGGTCAGTAGATAGGCACGCAACGAAAGATTTAAATACCATTATGTTGGTGGGCAGAAGACAGGAACACATGATACAGCTTAGGCAATTCATTCATTCATTTGTTTAGATCCAAATAATGGTTATTAAGTTTTAAGAAAAAAACCCTACAAATAAGTACATATTGTAACCGAATAAATAAAAATTTGTAATAATGCATCTTAATTTAGTTTTTAATCAGTTCTATTTGCCAGGTATGTGTACACATAAGAGGATTTTTGACTCTAAATTGTACAACGCTCATGATGATGAGCACATACGGTATACAAATACTATAAACAAAATGGGAAGATCCAAATTGTAGAGCAGTGGTGCGGTTGCAAAGGTAAACAACACAGTACTGAATAATAAGTGGTTATTAGTAAGCAGGTGCTGGAGAGAAGTGAGTTACTGGGTTATTGTTCAACAGTTTTTCCTGACCCTGTTCATTAGAGTGATGGCTTGTGGAATAAAAACTCCTGAATCTTCTAGTTTAGGCGTGGTCTGTCCTAAGAGAGGGGACAGTTGGATAAGAGCACAATATAAATTAAAAAGAATAGAAAGTATAGGAGCAAAAAAAATATATATTTTTTGCTTTATAAATTGGTGGACAAAATATTGTTTCACTTTTTCTTTCTTTTTCTTTGTCTCTTTCTCTTTCCGTCTAAAACACAGATACACACAAGCAAAACTATTTTTTGGCGATATCCTTGCTGAAATTGTCATTGAAACCTAGTTTCCACTTCATGGTTAAATGGAGTAAACGCATGAGAGATCTTTGTCTGCTTCGAAAGGTTTTAGTCTCATCTGCAGCAATAATAGTGGCATTACAAACTATAAACCTATTAACTGGTTAACCATCTACTTTTAAGCATTACTTACAACAAATCCAATGCAAAAACTGAAATCTGAACAATGGCAATTTCACCATAGCACATTTGTTGTGATTGTGAGTCCATGACAGACAGGATCACAGACTGATGGGAGAGGGAGGAGACATCCAAACTCCTGAGTCTACAACCCAATCAGTAAAGGGAGGCCACAGTTGGATAGTTTGTGATTAGCTACCCTCTTTCCTTAAGAGATCCCGACACAAGAAACCAGCAGATCATGAGCAAACGCAGCTTCTGACAAAGTTGACTGTTGTTCTAACCCAAACCTTTTTGCTTTCTGATTAGATTTGCAGGCATCACAGGTTTTCACTCAATTTATAGCTTCTGCCATTTTTTTTTCATGCCATTTTGATTTTGCATGATCAGTCTCTGAAACCTTCTGCTTCTCAACACAAAGGACGCATGTAAACCTCTTTGATCTGCCACGGTAAGTTATTAAAGATTACCACTTTTATACAAACCTTGCATTTATTGTACTTAAAATTAAGGTAAAATTGAGTGAAGTAGTAATAACAGTTGTCTCGTTAGGAAAAAAAAAATGTCTGGTGACCGCACTGATTGTCAGCATATAAACAAACTGAAATAAATGAAGCTGCATATTTAATTGACTTTTATTTTATGGTGAAATGTGTGCATAAGATCATGGCGTTGCTGAGTAGATTGATGGGTGTTGGTTCTGGCTGGTCTGTGTTGACTGATTAACTCAAGATTATTACAATCAAGATATTTGAATTGAGAAAGCTTCCTGAAAAGGTAGTGAAACGTCTTCAAATCTTGGAAACCAAGTCCAGTGGATTTTTTTTTTTTTACTTTTACGGAATGACTATGACCTGGATGACTCAGAATCTTCATCCGCATGATTACACTCACAGCGCACAATGGGGAGACTCTGTTATGAGACATAACATGTATAGATATGTTACATTAATATGTGATAGTTTGAACTTTATTTTGCAGTTTATCTGAGTGGCTGATGTTAAACGAAGCCAACATTAAAGTAAAACTATTCCCTACCAAAAGAACAAATAAAAAAACAACAAAAACATTGTGGGACAACACAGAAAAAAGAAATGTATTTTCACAGAGGATGAAGAATAAAAATCTTCATCCATTTTTAAGAATCAATTTTCCAAGTAAAAAAGAAATACATTTCTGGATTGCCTGTAATATATATGATTTTAGTAATATAATAATATAACATAGTTTGGATTCCCTAAAACAATTCAGAGCAGAACACCCCAACTTAAGTTACTTTAAAAGTCCCATTGTATTGAAGGGGGAACTCACATCTAATTGTACAAGTTACATTTAACACTATCTAAATATTCCCCAAAACACTACAACCATCTACATTAAAGATCTTAAATATAACATTTTTATTTTTTTAATATTTTTTGCTAGGATGATTTTCCTGAAACACTCGACTGATTAATGGATAAGACACTGGAAACAGCTCTGACCCTTTTCTTCATCCTTTGTGTTCCTACTCAAAAAGTTGGAGGGCAAATGTTGGGAACCAATGGAGGGTACAAACAATCACCACGTTCCTCAGATCTGAAAGCAGGCCGTTGCTCCTACACCTTTATTGTCCCACAGCAAAAAATTTCAGGAGCTCTGTGTTTGAACACACACTCCCCAATGCCCAACAAATCAGAGGTTGCAGCTCTGCAGTTGGGGTTTAAACAGCAGCAGGAACAGCTGGAGAAGCTGCAGAAACAACTGGAGGATGAAGGGTCTCTTGCCACAGAGGTAAGAGCCCTGCGCAAAGAAAGCAACAGCATGAATTCTCGTATTGCCCAACTTTATAACCAGCTGCTGCGTGAAGTCATCCAAAAAAAGGAGCAGGCTGTGGAGCACCAAAGGTTGGAGAGCCTCCTCCTCAATGCTACAACACAGGTAAGCATGGATTCCCCCATATCACAGCTTCTCATGATTGGGTGAGATATGGATCTTGGCTTATGTTTTCTCTTTTTGGTGGGGGAACTACAGGCTTTGCAGGTGTCCAGTAGTTACAGGGAACTGGAGAAGAAATATGGAGCCCTCACCTCCACGATAAGTTCCCAGAACCAATTCATAGCCAAACTTGAAAAGCAGTGCCAATGTAGGCATTCCAGCCAGACCTTTCAAGTAGGAAGCATGCAGATCTTTTTATTTATTCATTTTTAGATTTGATACTGATGCTAACTGCGGCCTGCAAATGAGCCTGTGTTGTTTTATGTTGCTCTGAACAGACAATGACGGAACCCCCCAAAAGCAGTGATACTGAGCACCATAACCACAGCATTGAAGCAAGCATAATGACAAATGATGTTCAGAGGGACCAGAGTGCTCCTTTACATCAGCTTCAAGTGAAAACAGTCGTCGATCATTCCCTTCCTACCTCTACAATCAGCCCCCCTACTGAATTGCCTTTTGTTGGCTTCCCTGTAACAAAATCTCCAGGTATCCAAAACACATTTCAGAGCATTTGATAAGACTCCAAACTTTGTCTATAGATGAGTCTTGCTTGTGTCAGACATATTTATTGTGTCTGATAAGCAGCAGAAGCTGGTGGTGTCACTGACCTGCTGATAGAGGTTTTATCTTCTTGGGAAAACCTAAACAATGTCAAACACAGCCAGCGTCTCTCAGAGCATCGCCTCTCTAATGATCAGGCGCTCACTTTTTATTAACACACCAGCAAAAACTTATGCGGTTAATAAAGAGGAAGAAATAGGCAGCTTTCTGAAAAAAGCGACCATGTGATGCAAGAGCGTTAGTTACATCCAGCTTATGTAAAAGTGCTTGTCATGGCAGCTCATCTATATTCATTATTGTGGGAGATGCTTCTTAGTCTGTACATTCTGGCCATGCAGATTCCTATGTTGACCTTATCCAATTCTTCATGTCCAAAGAGATAAATAGAAGCTAATCTTTCAGACGCCAAACATGTACTCCAGTTCACTCTAAAGAAACCAGCACTGATTGTTTAAAGTATGTGCAAGAGCTGCATGGCAGGCATAAATAAAATCCACACCTACCTGCAACTAAACTTTCATCATCAGTTTTTAAATAATCAAAATTCATGGATATTAAATAGCATAGCTATCTGAATAAAAGAGAGGTTTTTTGTACAAATAAAAATGTAAAGGTAAGATTATTCTTTGTTACTGTTCATGTATGAGATATATCACAAAGCTTAAAATGAAAATCTTTGTTTTTGTTGTCACATAAAATCCCAACATCATAAATACATTTACAAGAAGCAGAAATACACATATAGCATACGATGTTGGTTGCCTATTTTCATCTCCTCCAGGGCCGTGGAGAGACTGCCAGCATGTTCTAGATTCAGGCGAGACCAGCAGTGGGATCTACCTGCTTCGTCTTCAGAGCGCCAACCTACTCTTGCAGGCATGGTGTGAGCAGAGTCAGGCTCAGGGTGGCTGGACCGT